AGACCTAAATCCATAGGCTGAGAATTAATTGGGGCAAAGAGCTACATTAGATGTGGCTTGCTTAAGGGAGTTTGTTAAGGAAAAAAACTAACAGTACAGGATTAAGCTGAGGGATATTCCTCATTTCACCAGGAAAAATATCCCTGAACAATGACTCACCCAGTACTTGTTTGTGATTCTAGTAATTATAAATTATTAGAAAGCAGAAAGCAATGGCTGGGATAAGGTACTGTTGCTCAGCAAACCTGCATTTTGAGAACAAGAATAAAGCTTTTTGGAAGATAATGTCTCTCTTTTTTTCCCCTGTGCAGTCGCAAAGAAAGGTATTTAATCCTTCTAAAAATAAGTATGAATGTGTCTGCTTCCAGAGTCTATAAAATATGTCTGCATCAAAGCAATGTGGAGACATTTGGGAATAAGTAGCTAATTTGATACTCATAACAAACCATAGCCTAGGACTTTGTGTCAGAGAACTGGGCTGACCTTTCAGCAACTGATGATAGTTCTGAAATGACTTCTCATCAGTGAAAGCCCAATCTATCATCAGTTAAAATAAATTAAAAGCTATCACTGGCTTCTACAGATATTGGATTAGACAATATAAAACCCACTTGAATGCTGGGAACCCAATGAAATTATCATGGTAAATCTAAATTCTAGTGAAGCTTTACAGGCTTTAAAATATCTCTCTGCAGCCCCATTAAGAATGGGTTTCTACTTAGCTCATGAATATTTCACTTCTTTTTTTCTGATAGTGTCATCATGAACTAAGACAGCACAAAGCCCAATATTCCAGCCTCCTTTTTGCTAACAGCAGATCCAGAGCATGTTTCTGTAGAAAGAGCAGTCCAGAGAGTAAAGGCCTGAACATAGACACTGCTTCCCCTCAAAGTATCTCTTCTGATTTCCAGCCATCCCCACAGAGCTAGGAATAGCTCTTCCCAACACTTTTTCATCTCCCCATTTCCACAGTGATAGTGTGGCCACGGTGATAGTGTGACTTCCAAAATGTCCAGGATCTGGAAAGATGAAGTTTCCTTTAGGAGTTGGTCTTCATACACAACTTTGTCCATCTCCTCCTGCTCATTTTTGAAGCACTTGATCTTCCTTTCAGAAGGATAAACCTTGTTGCAGAACAAACCTGCTAGCTGGGGTAGCCCCACAGCTCTGTTACCATGGGAGAAATTCTTTCTGTTCAACCAAAAAAGAGAGAGATGAAGATTGCTGGCCAGTGCTCCTCAGGAATCACTCCTAGCAACAGGAGGAATGGATGTCATACATATTACTCCCTCAAGCCATTTGTCATTGCATCCTTTGTTCCAAATGCACTGCCTCTAACATGACCTCACATTACACATCTCCCAGCCACATTCACCTTCAATCCTCTCTCTTTCTTCCCTCAGTGAAGCACCATCTTAGAAGATAAATTTGCTTCTACCAGAAACATCTACTGGGAACATTTCATGTCTCCTAAACCCAGATGTGAGTACAGAAGAACCATTATTTTTCATCATCCTTTTAAACCTCCCTCCCTGCAGACACTCTGACTACCAGCATCCTGCTTCCCAGCCCAGACTGACATTGCTACTCTGATCCACAAAGAGCACCAGTGCTCTCTGGAAAGCTTTTAGAAGGGCTCTGCTCTGCATGACAAGAAATGAAACATACATTCATACACAGCCACGTCTTTGCCAACACCTGAAACATCTCCAAAACACCCAACCTATGTACCAGAGAGCAACAGTGCTGGGAGTTAGCTGCAGCACTGCATCGACCCATAAGGACCTATCAAAGAACCTGAGATCTGGGGTCATCCCTGGGGCTATGGTTTGTGGTTCTGATGGTGCCAAACTGCTGGCCAGTGAGGACAGCATCCAGCAGTGAAAAGAAGATGGGCAGCTATGGGAACTGAGGCCTACAACCCTGAGATTATGCTGTGAGATGTGTGGCTAAGGGATTTCCATGAGCTATTCCATGAGATGTGTGGCTAAGGGATTCCTGGGGCATGAAGACTGGGGAGGGATGGTTTATCAGGTGAAGGCCAGGTGACCCTCACCACAGCAAGAGTTGGAAGAGGGAGTGATGCTAAGGTGTCATGGTTCTGTTCCACCCTTGTGCAAGACCCACAGCCTTTGTGATCTCTCTCTTTGTTCCTCTTGATATCCCTCATTAATAGACAAAGTGGCTGCCCACCACTTACGACAGCAGGAGCAGAAGATTTGACTACAGTCTCACCTCCACTTCCCCCAAAAGTATAGTGATACCATTTGGGCTTTGTAGAGCAGGATATTCACCTGGATGAGAAAAGTTCAAGTCCAGTTCAAAAACACGTGAGGCCAGACTTTCCTGTGTTATGCCCTTGCTTCCAATTGCCCACAGGTGGTCCTAGAGCAGATGGGTCTGAGGGGAAGGACCTTGCCGCTTTCCTGGTGTGTTTAGACATTGTCACTGGTGCTACCCTCTAATACTTCCTTACATTAATTGTTTATTTGGCCTGAAGAGGGTTTAATGAGTCAAATAACCCTGAAAAAATTATTCTGGGCAGTATGGCAGAACAGGAGAAAAAAACTTATAGCTGAGAGCAGTAAGGAATGCACCATGTGTGACCAGGCACAGAGAACATGTAACATGCACTGAGCAGTCATTACACACATGTTTAATTCTCACATTAACCCAGGAGTTCCCTGAATGACAGAGGCCCAATTTCCTACCAATTCACATCCTGTATCTCTGCCTGACACTGCATCAGCACCAGCTCCTTCCTGCACTGGGATTCTCTAAGAAACCACATCACAGCAGTGTACCAACACACAGCAAAGCTCAGTGCTGGCCCTTACAGGAGGGGATGGTGGTTGGCATTAAAATAAAACTAATTTTGCTCACTCAGGAGTACAAAGACATGTGTGCCCCTGTGTTTCCATCCAGCACTGAGGCAGTAACCATGTGTGTCCAGGCAGTCTGCACGATTCCGTGCAGTGGCACAGAAGTCAGATACTGGCAAAGCTGTCCTCGCTGCCTGAGGATGTGCTTCTATCCCTCCCTGTACCTCCCCTCCCTGCACCCTACCCCTGAGGTCTCCTGTCCTACCTCTCAGTGTCTTTCTCATCCACCTGGTTATGTCTGTGGCCCTGCCCTGCAGCTCTAATTCCTCAGGATGATGTTTCAAGGCAGGGCAGAGCTCAGGTCAGGACTCAGCCAGGGGTGGGGACATTGGCTTACTTGGAGCAAAAGCAGAGGTGAAGGAAGGCCCTAGCAAGCAGCTTTGGACTTTGAGGACAAGAAGCTTTTCATGCACAGATAAAAAGAATCACATGGGAAAATCAAAAAAGCTTTCCTCTCTCTTTTCCACGAGCCCCACTTGTTTCTTCTAAAAGCAGCCTCTGGCCAGCAATTCCTTTCTAACCTGGGACTTTACAGCAAGGTAAAGGGTTTGCCTCCCTGCAAGCAGTGTCACTACCAAAGCTGCCTCCCAGCACCTCCTGGCCCTGGAGCATCCCACTGCTGCTCTCTTGTGTGACCCTCAGTGCTGCAATGATCAAAGCACAGCAATGAGGTGACCTCTGACCACAAGCACAGCGGCGTGTTCAGCTGCTGCCCTCCTGCAGTGAAGCTGCAGAACAGGGACAGGCAGGAATCAGGCAAGCAGAGCAGCAAAGGCTGGGCTGCATGGGGAAGCAGCACTGGCTTTACACATTTCAGAGAATCACAGAATGTTTTGGGTTGGAAGGGACATTTTAATATAATCTAATTTCAACATTCCTGCCATGGGCAGGGGACCCCTCCATTAGACCAAGTTGATCCAAGCCCCATTCAACCTGGCTTTGAACACTTCTAAGGTTGAGGCAGCCACAGCCTCTCTGGGCAACCTCTTCCAGACCTCACCACCTCACAGCAGAGGATTTCTTCCTTGTGTGCAAACTAAATTGACACTCTTTCATTTTAAAACCATTGTCCCTTATCTTGGCACTAAAGATTTCTCTGTCTTTCTTACAAGCCCTCTTTAAGTTTGGAAGGCTGCAGTAAGGAAGAAGCCCCCTTCTCTCCAGGCTGAGCAGCCCCAACTGTCTCAGCCTGTCTCCATAGCAAAGGTGCTCCAGCTCTCTGACTATCTTTGTGGCCTCCCTCCTTTGTACTCAGTCAATAGGTCCATATGTTTCCAGTGCTGATGACCCCAGAGCTGGATGGTCCAGGTGGGGTCTCACAGGAACAGAGGGCAGAATCCAGAATCCGCCATCCTGCCCTGCTGGTCCCACTGCTGTGGATGCAGCCCAGGATATAATAGGCTTTCTGGGTTGCAAGAGCACATTGTTGGGTCATGGCCAATTTTAAGCCTACCTCTCTTGCCAAGTCATTCCCTGCAGGGCTGGAGACCCTGATGGCTGCTCCTCACCATCCACCCACACCACCTGGAAGGACAGAGGGGCATAAGCTTCAAAAAGAAACAGGAGAAAAGGTTTATTCGTTATCAAGGCTTGCAGAGCAGACCCAAGTCCTGTGCCTCTTATCAGGAAAAGTGAGGAATGTCGAGGGGCATGACAGAGTCAATGGTCCCTGAGAGAAGCCCAGGAGGACGGGAGAGTGGCTGAAGGTCCTCGAGAAGCACGCACACCATCCCCAGACCGCGCTGCCGCTCAGGTGGCCCCAGGGGTCCGCCACGGGGATCCCTTGTGTCCCAACACGGGATCCGTCTCGTGGCTACGGAGCATCCTTCCCCCCACACGCGGGGATGACAGTCCCACACGTCCCGCTAGGAGCGGACACCCCATAGGAAGAACTACATTTCCCAGAGCCGCTTGCGCCCGGGCGGCGGAATAGGTGGGCCGAGTCGCGCATTCTGTTTTGATTGGCTGGTCGGGGGAAGTCGGGGCGGCCATTGGCTGGGCGGGCAGTCACGTGGGGCGGCGGGAGGCAGGCAGACTCACGTGGGCCCGTGTGGGAACCGGGAACCGGGCACCGGGCTCGGGCCGGGCTTTGGGGGAGCGGCCCCGCCGGGCCTCGCCATGCTGGGCGCCCGGGGCGGGTGGTGGGCCCTGCGCCGCTGCGCCTCCCTGCCGCGGGCCGTGCGGCTGCGGGTGCGCGAGGCGCTGGGGGCGCGGGAGCCGGCGGAGGCGGTCAGAGTGCAGGTGTGTGCCCGGGGCCGGTCAGAGTGCGGGTCTGTGTGTGCCCGGGGCCGGTCAGAGTGCGGGTCTGTGTGTGCCCGGGGCCGGTCAGAGTGCGGGTCTGTGCGTGCCCGGGGCCGGTCAGAGTGCGGGGTGTGTGCCCGGCCCTGCCGGGGCCCGAGCGGAGGGTAGTGCCTGGGGGGGCACGGCCCACGCCCGTGCTTCGGCGAGCGAAGGGGGAGCCCTGCAGAGCGTTTTGCTGAGCTCCGGAACTGCTGTGCCGTCGTGCCGAGCCGCTCCGTGTGTTCCTTTTCCCGCTGTGCGTGCTCGGTTCGCTGCTGTCGCAGCCAGCGGAGCCTTGGGGTCACTCGGCATGTGTGGAGTAGCGTTGTCACCGTGATGGGTTGTGCTGAACGTGCTCTCCGCCGCGTTGGATTTATCTGTTCCGGAGAGCGAACCATTGCCGGTGTGCTGCTGTTTATAAAGCTTTTTCACAAGTCTTGTGCCACGTACGTCCAGGTTTAGAGCAGTGTCAGTAGAACCATCGGTAACACTTCCCCTGACGTTTGTATTTGGCTCCTCTTGTGAACCAAGATAGCCTGGAATTAATGGGCATTTTAGCTATGGAGCACTTTTCCTTGGCATAGGATTGTTCCCCGGTTTTGTGGTGTTTGCAACTGGCAGAGCAGTGGTTGCACACACAGAATCCCTGCTTCCATACAGGGCTATGCACTTGTCAGTATTTCTGCATGAATATGAAAAGGACTGGGGTACTTGGTAACAGTTTTAAACAAAACTGAAAGAGGATACATTTAGATTATAAGAAGGAGATTTCTCACTGTAGAGGGGTGAAGCACTGCCACAGGTTGCCTAGAGAAGATGTAGCTGCCCCATCCTTGGAAGTGTTCAAGGCCAGGATGGGGCTTGGAGCAACCTGGTCTACTGGAAGGTGTTCCTGCCCATGGCAGTGGGGTTAGAACTGGATAACCTTTAAGATCCCTTCCAATTCAAACCTTTCTGTGATTCTACTAACCCAAAAACCAGTCTGTAGCATGCTGGTATTCCTGCTCACACATAGGTGAAGCCTAATAGGTTAGGAAGAAGCTCATCCAGTGTTGGTTCTTTTTGGATGTAGTAGTATAGTCTAGTTGGTTCTTTTTGGATGTAGTTGGATGAATAATGCAAGCTAGAATAAACTGATGCTAAAGTTTGCAATACTTCCATTCCTCCGCCTTCCCTGTCCTCCAGACCATTGCTGCTTTGCTCTTCCCCTTTGCTACCAAAATGCGGGGGTTTTGTATTAAAATGGGCTAGGAATCTGTCTGGCTTAAATCCAACCTTATAATGGCCAGGTTGTTGGAATGTGCAGTCTAATTGTTACAGTCAGGGTTGTCACTTTTATTGTACATTCATTCTGGTAGGTGTGAAGTGGTCAGAACATTGCTGCTGCAGCCTCTGCTGTTCCAATATATGCCTGTGGGTATGCTTTTACTTCCTATTGCAGGATGCAAGACTCCTCCTCTTATTTAATAGATTCCAGAACAGCTTTATGAGGTGGTAAGAAAAGCTCTTGAGAATGTTTCTTTGTTCATTTTTAGTGTGTTTTATTAGGGAGTGTTTGTGGGGAGGAAAAATACCTGCCATTATACATTAAATGTGCATCCAGTATAACATACATGATGTGTTCTGGGGATTTCCTGGAATATGGAGGATAAGCACAACAGCTTCAGGCATGTTACTGTAGGAAATACCTTTTACTTTCACCATACAAATAAGAGGATGCCCAGATGATCTTGTTTCTTGCATTAGTTCTTCCTTTGGGTGGTTTACCCTGTCTGACTCACTAGATTCATGTCTTTAAAATCTTCCATGGTTCTTATATGGAGTAAGGAAAGCATGTTATGCAAGCCCGTGTGATGCTTTGCCTGTGCTAGTAGTCATTTTTAAAACTATAACACACTTTACTTCTGGTGCTGTTTAATTCTTGGTTTGTTCTGTCTGGGTGGCAGAAGTAGATGGATTTGCATTGGTTTGTCTGGTAAGAAAATCTCTAAAGCACTTGCCCAGTTTGAAGTCATTGGGACTATTTGGTCGCTTCCAGTTAAGAAAAATACAAAACTGGTTGGAAAAGAGGCAGTTTGGTGGTTTAATCAGCACTGGTTTTAGTTGTTCTCTACAATATTGTTAGAATTTGATCTGCAAGGCCCCCAGCAGATGATTTTGCTTTGAAGGCCAGATTTGTCTCAACTCTGCTGAGCTGAGGAGCAACTATGGGAGTTATATTTTGCATGCAATTACTATTGCTTGCTGCCTTGGTACTGACTTAACATTTCCCATAAAAAAGTAACTAAAATTTATATGTCATTAAAAAACTCAAGACATTTAGCCTGCACTGTACATGGTCAGTTTTCCTGTTTTGCTGTTACAAAGAATTGGGGTATCATTAGTTTTATTCTTTTCATGAAACTCAACAAAGTATGTCTAAATTTTTTTCTTAATAGCTTTTTTTTTTTTCCCCCATGGGCTCAATGAAGCAGTCTTGGTTTTTGAGATGAAAGGAGAAACATCCAAGGCAATAATTTTTATTTTTGTTTTGCATGAATATGTAGTTTTTCATGTGAATCTATTGGCAGCAACATGCAACATTGTTTTAGCAGTCCAGCATTTTAGGGCACATAAACCAGTAGTGAACAGATTGGAAGAGTTGAAACATTGGAATATTACTACAAGGATACAACAACAAAACTGATATTGAAAACCATCAGAATGGTCTTGAGTGTATTGTAATGAAGAATAGTGCATTACTGGTCTCTCCTGTTTTAGTAAGAAGAGCTTGGAAGGGACATCACCAATAGGAATATATACTTTACCAAAACACTTCACATCTTCAGAGCACTGCATTGCTTTCTGTATTCTCAGCTCCACAAAGATGCAGGTACATCTTTTTAATCCTTGCTGTTCTCAGGAAGAGACTCTGCCTCAGAAGGATGTCTCTGCCTAAGGACTTGTTTCTCTCTGCTTTGAAGTCAAAAGAAAAACTGACACGAACTTTTTTTGTCCTTTTGTTTTTTATTATCATTATTTTTTTTGCCTCTAAAGAAACAGTTACTTTGATTTCAGTAAGATGCTGAAGTAGGCCTGAAGTGGTGTGTCTAGCTCAGCTGCAAGAAGAGCATGAGCACACAGCGTTCCTGCCAAAAAATAACAAATCTCTTTCTTTTACTTCTAGGGCTGGGTTCGCTCTGTCCGATCCCAGAAGGAAGTATTGTTCCTGCACATAAATGATGGGAGTTCTCTGGAAAGCCTCCAGGTGGTTGCTGATCCCAGCCTGGAAAAGAGGTAGGTCCATTTGAAATAACTGGAGAAATACATGTGCTGAGCAGTGCTTGGAGGGGTCTGCTTAGGCCTCCTTCCTTGTGCCAGGGATTGGCCAACCACATTTGTCTCCACCAAGAGCCTCTTCTGATAAAAACCTGTCACTGTTCTCCCTGCTTGTCCAACATTCCTGCCTTGTTCTAAATTCTTTTATAGCTTTGTGAGTCTCTTCCCATTCCCACCTCTGCTTTTAATAATTTTTTATTTCATCTGTTAAGCTCTATGGCTACAGCATCTCTTGGGATCCTTAGTAATCCAGCTAAATTAACCGGCATCTCTCTTCTGAATGTAGTTGTATCAGCACCTAGTTAAGCTGTTGTTTTTTCTTTGTTTCTTAGAGACCTGACTTTTGGAAGCGCAGTGGAAGTGCAAGGGAAGCTTGTCAAAAGTCCTCATAAGATGCAAAACATGGAGCTGCAAGCTGAAACCATTCATGTGGTGGGACCTTGTGATATTTGGGTATGTCACTGTAGCAGAAGGGGTAGGACTGCTAGAAATCAATTCTTGAAGGTCCAAGTATCCAACAAAACATGCTTGAAACTGTATTTTCTTTAAGTCTGAGTGATCCTGCAGACTTTGATTTGTCAGCAGTGTCTGTAGTGTGCATCAAAAGAGAAACATTGGATCACCATGAAAGCCCATTTCTATGACAGAGCCATTTCTCCATGGAAAATGTGCACAGGCTGACAGTTCGGCGTATGCCTTTGTCCCACCCTGAAGCACTTACCTGTGCAGGTGGCTTACCATGAATTGGAGAAACAGTGGAACTGGCTAGACACTCCAGGTTGTGCAGCTGGAAGAGCCATATCTACCACAGGCACATTCAGAACCAGCTTGCTGTTGCAGCAGTGAGGTGGACAGCTGGTTTCAGAGGGGCTCAACATCCAAAAGGTGGAGTGTTCTGGAATGCCAATACTTCCTGTCATGTTCATGGATCTTGCTCTGCTGTAAGCATTGTAAAATACACAAAACAAGCAGAAAAAGATAGGCAAAAGCATCTAGTTCTTGTGTGCTCTGTAATGGTGATTGAGTTTTAGTAGGGAAAGATGAATGCATTCTGTGAATAGTAATTAAACTGCGTGGACTCCCAAGTTCTCATCCTCTTACTTTGATTTCCTTGTTGTTTCCAGTCATTTCCCCTGAAAATGAGGGAGAGGCACCCACTGGAGTATGTCCGACAGTTCCCTCACCTGCGCTGCAGGAACAACACGCTGGGCGCCCTGCTGCGAATCCGCAGTGAAGCCACTGCCAGCATCCACTCCTTCTTCCAGGTAATCCCTTCTGTACCCAGCCTCTCGAGTAGAACTCTCCACCCAGGCTGGCTCTATGGGAGCAGGTTAGGAGGGAAGGAGCAAGACATGGATTTTGCACACAGTGCTTTTCTTTCCAGGCCAGAGCCTGGCTGCGCCTTGGCCAGTCTGTTGCTTATGACCAGGTTAGTGCATCTGTGGCCTGTCAGTGTCTTTCCACCCATTTCCTGTTATTTATGCCTTTCACAGAGTTGCAGTATAATTGCCTCCAAGTGTGTGGTCTGTGGAACACAACATAATGTGATTGTGTTTAACCCATGCTCTGCAGTGACCTTATGGTCCTTGGACAGAAACCTCCGCCCACGTGGAAAAATCTGTGATGCAGGAACACAGACAAACTGACTCAGAGCTTCATGTTATTCTCAGTTCTTGCCTCTAACTGCAATACAAGTCTGTGGATGCTGTTGGCTGACATTATAAGACTCCTGGTCTGGTGCATTTGAAACTCATGGGTGGGAGCCACCTGTGTTTTCTGAATGTGTCACTCTTAAGCTGTGGGCACAGCACAGACTTTTTGCAGGCAGGGGAGCAATGAATTGGCTCTGATGCCAGGTGTCACATAGATTCTAGTCACATGTGTGAGTAGAAAAAGAAAGGTAGTAAGTCCTCTAGCACACCTGAACCTTTCTTTAAAGCTGTTCCTGGAAATAAGCATGTTTTAGTTTAGATAAGCTGGCTTTAGATAGAATAGAATCACATTCAGATAATTCTGTTGACAAAATTCATCTGTAATAATTAGTGTGGCCTAAGAAACAGGTTAGAAATGTTGAGATGAATTTCTGGTTCCAGGTTTGCTGGTCTTTGTTGCCTGCAATGGCAAAAGTTTGCTTGCTCTGAGAACTGCCTGTGTGGAATTGCATGGCGTTTGAATGAGTTTTGTGGGTTTTGTTGGGGTGGGGTGGGGGGTCCCGTGTCAGGTAAAGCTGCTGATTTCAGGATTGTGCCTGCTCCCAAGACAGAAGCCAGCTCTGTTGGGAATCAGTCTGTGCCGGCGTTGAGCCACTAGATGGCATTGCCTACAACGCTTTGTGCTTCCAAACCTGGGCACCGCAGGCAGCCGAGGTACAGAACAGCCTTATTCAGGCTTTGTTTCTCCAAACCAGCTCCTGCTCGGGCTCTGACATACCTTCCTGTTTACAGTGCTCAAGAGCAGAACTCTGTTTTGTAATAGACTCTATCTATCATCAATTTAGCAGCAGCAGCTACGCTAAAGTTATTTTTAAAGGAATAAGCAAGATTTGGTCCCAGACCTGATATTTATAAATGCTTGTGTGAGAACTCTCCTAGCACCAGGAATGTCTGTGGTTTTATTCTGTCTCTAATGGAAGGAAGTCTTAAAATTGCCACTTGCATCATCACAAGACTATTGCAATTTCCAACTTGACAATGTCAGAACATACCGTAGCTACAAAGTATAATTTCACCATTTTCACTGGGCAAAGCTGTAAGGAGCTTAATGGTGGAAGAAAATAAGTGGAGCTGTTTGAATACACAAAATTATCAAGACTCTTTGTAACTTTAAAAACCTCTCTTTTTTAAAAACCTCTCTTCCTGTTCATTTCCAGGAATGAATGACTAGTGCCAAGTGCCTTTGGTTTGGATGTTGAAAGCTAAAATGTCCTTTTTAAATCTTCTGAGAATTGTGGTCCATGTGGGGTAGGAACATTGTTCCTAGGCACAGTAAGATAGTTGCATTGTGAATGGCAAATTCCATTCTGTACATTAAGTTCCAGGTTTGTGAGAGCCAGTAATGCAACTTGAATTATTTTAGAAGCTTTTATAAGGGGAATTATCCAAGAGGTTTTATGGGGACTCTCTTATTTCAGATCTGTGCAGTTTGCATTACTTTCCAAAGCATGTAAGGGATCTTCTATGTGAAGTGTGCTTCTTTACAGCAACTGCTACCACTGTATAAGGAATTTAGGCATTTTTAAACATCTCATGTGGAGTTGGGAGGCCATGTAACTAGCAGGGCTCTGAATATGCAGGGAACTGTGTCAGAGGCCTGCATTTTGTACTGGTAGACTGAAACTTCCTTCTCCAGGCAAAGCAAGTAGCTCTGGATCCAAGTCTTCCTTCTGTGCAGTAACTGGATCCCAGTGAGGAGTCAAGGTCTTTGCACCTGTAACCAAGGTAGCCTAGAGCTGACTACAGGGACTTTGCTCCCTCTTGGTTGTGTTACTGTACTCCCACAAAATGCATTGCAAGTCCATATGAGGTTTTTGTTCCAAATTAATTTTATAGTGGGCAGCAAATACTACTTCTGTCTTCCTAGTCCCTTAACAAGCTGGTGAGAAGGACCAGGACCTCTCATGTGACTGACTGGATTGTATTATTTTGGTAAAAGCTGTGCAGCTAAGATGTATCTATCCACTGAATATTGGGTTGCAGCTGTTTTAAAAGCCTATGGCTGCACTGCAGAGAAATCCAGAGAACAGGGGCTCTCTTCATTCAGCCTTACTGGTTTCAGAGGCCTCTGCTGGATTTATGAACTATTACATGATTGTGTAATTCTGCAGGTACCTAGAACACAACCAAGCCAGGGTATACCCTGTCTCTTAAAATTAGCTTGACTTCAGTATCTTAGAAGATGCAAGGTAGGACTGACACTTTATTGGTGGTTGGGTGTTTTTAAGGTCTCTTTCATCCAGTATGTGATTTTTGTCATCCAACACATTTGATCACTTCTCTTAATGCAGCACGCAAAGAGTGTCCTTTGCCTACCACTGCCTTCCAAAAAGCTGAAAGAAACAAAGTGTTGAGGTCTTAGGGGTGAATTTGATTGAAACTGCCCAAAACTATAAAAATGCTGGAGGAAGTGAGAAGAAAGGAGAATGGTATGGAAACAGGCCATTGCAAAAAAACTCATAGTAATGACATAAATCTCTTTTGGCTTTGAAACCTGGAGGAAAACACACAGATAGTAAACAATGATGTGTAAGTCATGGTAGCATTTAGTTTGTCATCTGTCCCAGAAGCTGCCCAAAAGACTCCATGTGCTGTCCTGGCTGGGGGCTAATGGCCTAGTTATGTGTGCTGGTTGATGTCATCCTTCAGGGTGACAGCTGTTAACTTTGCTGTTCTGTCTGTTCCAGGATAATGGATATGTGCATATTCATACCCCCATAATTACATCCAATGACTGTGAAGGTGCTGGGGAACTCTTTCAAATTGAGGTAAGTTGGGTTGCATAAAGTTTGTTTGGTTTGGTTTTTTGTGTTTTTTTTTTCAAAGCAGTTCTTGAGTTATTAAAGGTTAGAGGAAATATTTATCTTCATAAACCCTTTTATGTACTTCTGTGATTTTTTTAATAAAGCAATCCTTTGTTTCAACTAATAATTTAGACAGTTAAACAGATACATTATCTTTTATTTTATTGCTATTTTGTGCCTTAATCAGCACCTTTTTTTACTGATGAGGTTGTTCTATTCCTGGTGCTGTGGAAAAATTTACAAAGAATAACAGAGGGAGGTGGAACATCTTAGTAAACAGAATTACATGATCATAAGAGCCCAAGAGATGGATTGGGTCATTCAGGACAAACTACTACACTCAAGTACTTCTTAGCTTTGAAACAAATAATATAATTAATCATGAGATAATTCTTAAAAAAAAAAAGTCAGCAATATCTGAAACTCCTTTTCACCAGCATGTACATACAGGTTCCTCCCTACAAGCTATTCCTGTTGTATGTTGGAATTCTCCCCCAATATTGTCAAGCTTCCCCATAAACACCAAATTACTGCCACAATCTATTGTTATAAGAGTACTTCACATCATGGGTCAGAAGCTCCTGTGAAACTGAAACACAGCCATAACCACTAAGATCTCCCCCGCAGATTTCTCATGATTCCCAACCCCACACAACAGCCCAAGCTACACGGATTCTTACAAATAATCATAGAGAATTCCACTGTCTTTTATACTTCTGTATCTGAAATTCAGTCTTCTGTCTCAAACAATGGCATCCATTGCCTCCTATGTGTATCGGCTCCAGCTTTGCTGGTGACTCATCTGTAATCAAAAGAAAAATTGTTGAGGTAGCAGTTACTTGCTGTGGGACCATGTCTTCCACTCTGCACAGCCTTGTGACAAAAAAAGCTTCTGTCTGCTTGTTCTCCAGGATCTCAAGGTCTAACCTGTGCTACCAGTGATTCCCTTCCAGACCAGTACATGTGGCTCAGCTTTTTGCTTGCTGGGACAATAGGGTTGATTAGCTAAACTAAATTGTTCCTGTTTAATTGAGATGCCTTAATGCTACCCAAGGTTCACTCCAGGCTGTTGCATGCAAATTAAGACGTGAAAACAAGTGACACTTAATGATGGAAACATTATGCAGTTTGCAGCTGTACAGTGTATTGCGTCTTCGGGACAAATTGTATCCACTTGAAAGCTGTAGAGGATGCAGGACTACAGCGTAGGTGGCTGGTAGTGACAGCAGCCCTGATGCAAATGTTGATTGAGGTGCTAAACTGTGAGCCTGAAACTTGTATAAACTGGCTCTTATTGAAATGCATGGTTCAAGGTGGATATTTTACTCCTTTCCAGTGGGAATGCTGAGGTGCAAATAATACCTGTTTTGGAGAAATGTAACTACAGCTGTGCTTGAAAGGTGTGCACTAAGTGCCAAGCCAGACCCCATTAAATGGCCTGTGCCATAAAGGAAGGAATTCACAAACCCACTTGCTGCTGGGAGGAGGGGAGTTCTCCCTGATTTCCTGTTTTTTCTTTGATTACAGCTTCACTGTCTGGCTTAATTTAGGACTTAGTTTAGTTTCTGCAAAGCCCTATTCACAACTGGTCCTGGCTAGCAGAATTCTGAGGCTGCCTGCTATCCTGCTGGGGTCACATCACTCCACTGGAGCACTGATACTGTTTTTTGACAGTGAAAACATAGGGAAGATTAAGCCTGCCTTGGCCATGTATGTGATGCTGTCAGACACAAAATAGGAGTCACAGAAGGGTGTCAGACATAATAATAAGGATATGGTGTTTGCAGCAAAGCCCAGAATCTTCATATGCTTTTAACCAAACCAACTATCAAGACATTCTTGTCTGCTGTATTCAGTCACTTTTTAAACTAGCCTTTAATTCACTGTTTGAACAGGACAAGGGAGAATATGAATTCATGTGCCACTTATATTTGAGAAGGAGCTAAGATTTTTGATGAAAACAACCTTCAAATTGGATTTTTCAGTTTCAAAAAATATTAAAATCCTGTTCCTTAAGTTTTAAGATGTATCTTCTAGCTGTAACCAGAATTGGTGTTCTATTACTCCTGAATTTGTAGTAATTGCAATACATCTGCTAACAGGTTGGGGTTTTTCTGCCTTTTGGGTTTGGTTTTTTTTTTAGCTCCCTTGGGCAGTGTGTAGAACTAATAGTCTCCCCAGTTTTGCTGATCTGCTGCAGGTGAAGTAAGTTGAAGACTTTAGTTGAATAGCCTTTAGGACCCAAGTAGAGGCTGCTTTTGTACCCACTGTGTACTATTGCCTTTAAATAGCTGTTTTCTCTTACATGCACAGTTTTAATCCTCTGACTAACATCTGATGGCTGCTCAGGCCTGTGCATTCTTTTGAAAGGATGGAAAGTGAAGAGAGTATGAATATGTTTTTACATGTGAGTTGAAGAAATGGGGAAAAATGTATCTGAAGTTAGAATGAAGAGGCTTTTTGAAATGTGATTTTTGATTCCCAAAACTCTTAATCCTGTAGGATTTGTGTTTGTTTATATGTTCAGCTTCCTCATTATCTTTGTTTGGTTTTGGATGTACTGATGAGTCTGTACATAACTTTGGTTGGGATGCTCTCATATTAGGGCTTGGGATGGGGGGGAATCCATATTCCTTCACTGCTGGGCAAATCAACCAAATGTTTTTAAAATTAAGTACTGTAATGGTGAAAAGAGTGCAGTAAGCAGAGGACATTTTAACGAATAAATAAGTCACAAGATGGCTAACAACTCCAGAGGAAATTTCTCCGCCTGAAAAGTGTAGGTTTGAGGAGAGACTGCCAGAAGTGTGAAGACTACTAGGCAGACCCTAACCCACATCAGCAACACCATCTTGTGGCTTTCTGCTCTGTTGACAGTGTCTTCCTGTAGTGGGAGCATGTAGGGGAGAAAGCATCTTGTTTGTGCTTCTTTCTATAAAGTAAATATATTGAAAACACTAGAAGACCTTTGACTGTTGAAAGCAGTGTTTTAGTATCATCCAAAGCAGGATGAGGTAATTCTTGAAATAGGGAGAATGCAGATCAGCAGGGGCAGATAGCCCTTTTTCTATTTTAATCTGAAAATAATTCCCCTATACCAGCAGTTTTAGCACCTACTCCTCAGCACAGATTCTTTCCTTGCTTTTTTTTTTTTCTTATTTTTCTCTTTTATTTCTTCTGAAGTCTAGAATTCTTAGCAGTTTTTTATGTTGCAAGAAACTTTACCCAGTCCCCTTCTGTGGCTGCGTCCTAAGAAATTTGCCATACTTTTGTCCTTGTGACCCAGCTGCATGTCTGTTCCCTGCTATTTTCAGTAGCCTCCCACTCTGTCTGCAGTGTTGAAGACTCCCTGTTTTCTGAGTCTCTTGCTCTCTTTTCCACTTTGCTGCCTGGAAAATTTTCTTTGTATGGCTGCTTTCAGCTGATGTGGAGAAGGTGGAGGCTTCTCAGTGCTCTGTAAGAGCCTGTCTGGCCCAGGACATTCCAGCTGGTTCAGTGTGGGTCTCCACAGCCACTTTCCCTGCTGCCCAGCTGCAGCCTTTTAAGGGAAACTCAGTATGCAGTGAGTTCCAAAGCATAACAGCTGTATCATGCATTCACAGCTCCTTAAAGAAGATCTCACATGTAGTTTTTATTGCCTGTGGCCATATTCCTTCCTGGGACCACTCTCTATGTGTAAGGAGTGCTGCACTCTCCCTGTCGGAGGTAAAATGTGCTCTGTGTGAGGCTTGTCTCTTCCCATGCACACCTCAGGGCACCTGGCTGAGCCCAGGGTCTGGATCAAGCCATTTCATTGCTTGAAAGGTTATTTAACTGTAAGCCTGAAGAACTGTCTGGGTATAGTTCTTCTCTAAAATGCATCTGGAGATTGTTGGGCTTTCGAGGGTTTTTTGCCCCTCGCTCACAAGAGTCAGTGCCAAAGTTTTGAGGTTCCTGACAGTGCAGGTTTGTGGCTGTGCCAGCTATGGCAGTAGCAGTATGTACCTGCTGCTGAAGATGCAGAAACTTACTCCTACCATCCCTTTGGTACTACTGAAAAATATCCTTGTCAGCACTGAAGAAAGCTGGGATCTGCTGGGGAGGATCACAGTTAAGCACAACAGTATTAGTGTCTGTAAGGTGTTTTCCCTTTTAGAGATGTGTGAAGGTCTGGGAGGCAGCCAGTGCCTGAGAGACGGGTACTTCAGAGAAGTGCTCAGCAGGGATCAGGGTAAGCTGGACCTGAGCTGAGGGACGGCTGGCTTTTTCATATTCTAGCTCTCCCAGTTTCTCCTCATTTCTACCTGATTCATATCTGCCTGTCCAGTCTGTATTTATGAGATGTTATGCATTCCAGTACATATTTATGAGATGTGTGTCTCAGCAGAACCAGCTGCTGTTGCTCAGTGCAAGTCCAGCTGGTCAGAATTAGGACTGGAATTGCAAGGAGGACTTCTTAGAAGTTAGGAATTTTGCAGGGGTTGTCTGAAAAGGAAAATCCAATCATGTTTATGATGGGGTATCACAGAGGGCAAATCTGGATTAAAGATGTGTTTCTGGGAAGCTGCAGCAGCATGGTTCTGTGGGCCTGGGCTAGAGCTACAGCAATGATTTCTATGAGCTTTTCAAGTCTTCTCTGATCCCTTCATGCTTTTGGCTTGCATAGAGTGTAAGACAGAATCAAACAGTTTGTACTCTCCTGAAGCTAATTGCCTCAAGGAGAAGTTAATACAAGACTGACATCAAAGGGAATAATTTTAAATTAGACATTAGACATTTGAGGAGATGGAGAACAAAACAGGTACTAAATCCAGTTGTTCTTGTATTTAGAATGAGAATAAAAAGCCTTTGAAGTTGACGTCAAATACTAGCATGTTTATAGCACATTTGCTCTGAGACACCAAGATGTTTCATACAGATTCTCTCTCCCTTTTCCCCCATTGTAATTTGGGTAGTTTTCGACTCTGGGATGGAAAGAGCTTGAAAGGAAACCCATAATTCACCTCCTAATCTTTTATCAAGTCCGTGTTTTGGGGTTGGGAATGGGGAGAAGCGTACATCTAATTGAAGTAAAAGCACCACAGTGTTGTTGCTTCATTTTGCTGGTCATGTACATGAAAACCAGTCTCACCCAGTGTCAGCAGTGAAGGGATAGTGTCCCCTACTGTTTGTTTATCTTGTACCAGTAGCTGCGGTTTCATATAATAAAGAAGCCATCTTGCTCTAAAAGGCTGAGCGTGAATCACAGGCACAGGCACTTGGGAACATTGGCCTGTGCTCAAATGTATAAGAAGGAATCACCTCCAGCAGATTAGCTGATACTTGTACCTATGAAATATGCAGCTGCTAATTTTGGAATCTCCCCTTGCTGAAGGTGTCTCTTCTGAACAAAAAGGGAGGCATTTAATTTTTCCTGCATAGGAAAGTTTTCTGCAAGAGCTGTGTTGTACTGTTGTATTGAGTATTGTGCCTTAGGATGAGAGAGAGCAAGTGGGCAGCTGTGGAGAGGGGAGGTGATCAGATGGTGATGGGGCAGTAACATTCAATCTAAATACTGCTGTGTTTATGCTTCACCTTCTGTCAGAAGCCATTCAGGAGCTGCTCACAATGCAGACAAGTATCTTGGGATTTCTCAGTGACCTGTCAAACAGGCTGCAGGTTTTCAGGAGCCCAGTTGAGTTGTAGATTGTCTCACTTTATCTAGTCACTTACTGTGTTTCTCTTTCCCTTATGTCTCTCTGAGATCACATGTGATTTGGAGAATGAAAAATTACGCAAAGTCATTATAAATAAACCAGGCCCCAGCTCCTGGAGACAGTTGTATCCTGTTTGTGGATCTGGGAGGAAGCATTGAGATTTTGTGGCTGACTTCTTGTTCTTTTCTTGCTTCTAGTTTGTCTCTTTCTCATTGTTTAGAAGTTGCATCCTACAGGATTAGGTGGGATTTTTCACTGCTGAAACAAGGAATGTCTGAACTAAGCTTGCAGGAAAAGAGAAGCCAGAAACCATGGCTCTTCTCTTTAGTGTTCTGGCCATGGTTCTGGGGCTGCAGTATGTGAATGTTTGATGTTTATTAATATCCTTATTGTTTTTGAGCAAATGCTCTGGGTTTGTTTGATGAAAACAGTAGGGACCTGCTTCTGCATCCTCAGAGTTTGGTGTTTGGTTTTTTTAGAACCACAAAACCTTTGAAACAAAGGAAGCAGTCCTGGGGTTAGAGCCACAAATTGTCATCTTTTCATTGATCTTTGTGGAACAAGGCAAGCTTGCTCTTTTCTTCAGTGTGATGCTGTGAAGAGATAAAACTACCTTGTCATCTGAGGTTTTTGGAAGTCACTGTTTTATCTTTGTGATGAGCAGCAGAGCTTTTTGAGAACAAAAGCAACACCTTCAAGCTCATAAGAGAAAAATGGCAGGTTGTAGGCTATCAAAGACTGGAGAACAAGGCTCCCTGTGACAGAGCAAGTTGGGGAGTTGGGTGGCTGGTGGCAGTGGCATACTTAGCTGAACTAGCAACACTCACCATGACTCCTAGGAGCTACACCTTGGGTATTTCAAACTTATTTCAGAAGAAAGTATTTGTTTGGAGATGAATGTAGATCAGCCAGACCTCAGATTAGCTTTGAAGTTTAATTCTGTTTTTCTCCTGAACCTTTGGCTCCTCCAAAGTTTAGGGATGATACTGAAATATACAAGATGCTGAAACACAATATCATTTATCTTCGTGTTTCTTTAAAAGTCACTGAGTTGTGACCTCTAGAGATCATCTAATCCATCTCACTGTGTTCAAACAGTGTCAGCTGGAGCAAGTTGGCCAGTACTCTGCTGCTGAGTTTTTTATATCTCCCTAGATGGAGACTTTACAGCCTCTCTGGACAACCTGTTCTAGTACTTGACACCCACAGTAAATATTAAAGGTTATTCTTGTTTTCAGATGAATTTTTGTGTGTCTTTTTTAAAATTTGTGCCTATTGTCTCTTGGGACTTTTTTTTCTTTTGAGGTTTTTCATAATGGAATACTGAACTTGTTAAATTTTCTATTACTTGTAGATTTTTTTGTGCTTAAAATATCTGATGACCTGAAAAAGGCATGCAAAAGCTGAAATGAAACACAGTTTATTTTTCACTGCCTATATAATATGTAAGCTGTGATGTCTCCAAATTAATATTTTTTCAGTTGAGTTATTTTTAAAGACTGAATAACAAACAAATCTTAAGAGGATATTGCATTGCTTTTTGTTTTATTACTGTTTGTCTTTTTCCAGTGGAAACAAATTCATTTCCCTGTGAAAAGAAAATAACACTCTGTTAAAAGCTTTTTCTGAAAGTCAGTGGGGCTGACACAGAAAACACTCCTCCATTTTCTTATCAGGCTTGAAATTGAATTTTGAAGGCAATGCTGTATGAAGCTTCAAACTACAAATGATAGAGATTCTTCTCTTCCTCCTCTCTGTTCATCTTGGTAGGAAAGTGAAAATTGATGCTTTGAAAAGAGGGAAAATAAGCCACGTGCTGTGCTTTTTATTTAAACACCAATGGTCTGACTTGTTCCTCATTGTTACAGACATCAAGAGAGGAAAAGGAGTCAGTGGAAAAGAGCCATTTCTTCAATGTGCCTGCCTTCCTGACAGTTTCTGGCCAGCTCCATTTGGAAGTAATGGCAGGGTGAGCAAAATGAGAAATTTTCATCTTTGTCTATGGGATATTCCCAGCTGGTATTTTTGGTATCCATCAGGTATCTGCCATGGTTATCTGCCAGAAATGGACTGAGTGGCAGTGGCTGGATGATGGGTACTGAGAGGCCAGCCTAGAGAGAGAGCTGGAGCACCTCTTGTGTGGACACAGGCTGAGAGAGCTGGAGAAGAGAAGGCTCCAGGGAGACCTTAGAGCCCCTTCCAGTACTGAAGGGGCTACAAGAGAACTGAGGAGAGGCTTTGGACAAGGGCATGGAGTTACAGGGCAAGGGGGAATGGCTTCAGATTGAAAGAGGAAAGGTTTGAATTAGATATCAGGAAGCAATTCTTTACTTGAGGGTGGTGGGCACTGGCACACGTTTACCAGAGAAACTTGAACACATCCAGGGATGCATGCCCCATCCCTGAATGTGTTCAGGGCCAGGTTGGGTGGGGCTCTGAGCAACCTGGGGTAGTGGAAGATGTCCCTGCCCATGGCCAGGGAGTTAGAACAACATTGTCTTTGGAGTCACTTCCAAAACCATTGAATGATTCTATACTCTGGAGGGCCTCACAGCATCTAGAGAGTTAATGCTGTGTGATGTATCTGTGCAGTGCTTTTGCATCCAGAAGAACTTCATTTATTTTTGAAGACTGAAGGGATTCAATACCATTTGAGCTGCAGGCCTCAAAAACTCAATGTACTTTAATAAAGTAAAAATAAAAGGAGCAGGTTCCCAGAACAGCTATGCTCCATTATGAATAAACACATCTAAATTTAGATGGCCCTAGATTTATTCAAAATGTCTGTAAGAACAACACACTCCTGTAAAATAGGAACATGAAGCTGTAATGTACTGTATGCTGAAGAGCATTGATTTTTTTATTTATCCATCCTTAGAGAGCAAGGTACATCTGAGTGATATCAATGGAAAAAGTATTTACCAGACAAGTAATCTGCTGAGTTTAGCTTTATCTTAGAGCAGGCTGTGTACTATTTAAGGGGTACAGCCTGATGTAATAGAGTGAGATTGTATTTCAGGTTGATCATTAGAATCCACGTTCCTTCTTTGAACTTACTTGAATTACATCTTTCAGTAAAGGTCACAATGCATGACAGTCAATTAAGTCTAACACATACAAACCCATGCCATCTCATTTTTCAGGGATCAAAATCTCTCCCCCTTCAATTAAACAAAACTTGCCCCAGCTAATATCTGAGATGACACAGCTAATATCTGCTGCCAAGTGACCTGTGCTTTGGCCACAGCAGGCAGGGCACCTCATGAGAAACACCCTGTCTATCAAGAATGTCTAGCTTGAGTGTTTCTGCATATTGCAGACATTGAGCTGGTCTGAGAAGAGACCATGTCACTCAGGGAGAACAAACCAGGCAGAAAAGAGATTTCTGAAAAAATTTATATGTTTTGATTTGTATGCAAAAATTGCCCTTTGAACAATTTCATTGCAGCTATTTATCAGCAGCCAATAAACTGTGCTACAGTGATTACATAGAAAAACTCCAGTACTGATTCTCAGCATTGCATATTCAGGCATGAACAGCAAACACTATTAGAAATACAGGTCAGAACTCCCAGATGAAAAGGCCAATCTTTAAAGTTCACATTTTCCAAAGCTAGGATTTTATCCCTCCCATTTTCAGAAGGTTTCCACTCCACAATAACTGATCCCTTTAAAAGTGTTTTTAAAGTCACCATAAGTTCATTATGAGCCCTCCTTGGTACATGGCAAACAACTGCAGTGATACCTGCCTGAGATCTGGTCTCTGACAGGCTCTATCAGCAGTCCAGCTGGCCAGCAGTGGTTTGGCTGAAGTACCATGTCTGAGGAGAATCCACATTGCAACTGCTCAGAAAAATGTGCCTTCAGATAAGGGTTGTTGCCCTGATTTCATGCCAGCTACTCAATGTACTAATTTAGTTAGTTTATTGGGAAAATTCAGTGTAGATGAAGACCAAACCCATTATAAAAGAGAACTTTCTCTTTGACAGACTTGAGACTTTCACTCTTAGAGTAGTAAAAAGTGAGTTTTCCACCTCCAAAATGGAAATATTCTGGTCTTCCCAATAAACAAATCAGGTAAAACAGTAAAGATTTATCTGTTTTGGATTTGATTCCATGAAATTGACCCTTTGTTTTAGCCAGACTAAATTCTTCACATCTATAAAATTATCTAGTCATCAAAAATTACTTTAGCTTAGATATAATGTTAAGTGTTGCAGTCTTAAGGCTCTCGAGAACACTTTGTTCCTGAGAATTTGTGGGAGGAGACTGAGATAGAAATGCTGAGGAGAACCTTCCCCATCCAGTCTTGACCCACATTCTCTTGTGACTTTTAGGACTTGGGAGAGGGACAGATCCTGCTTAAGTCCATTAGAAAGTAGAGGTGGAGCAGGATAGGTGTGAGAGGCAGGTAGGAATTTGTCCTGGGAGAGGTGTACGTAGAAGGGGAGCAGAAGGTCAAGTAGGCAGTCATGTAATTTTGGGGTTAGCTTTTAGCTTTACAGAGCTCATAAGCAACCTCCAAGCTGTGGCTGGAAAAGGCTGGAAAGGGAGGTATGGAGGAGACTTACCAGATGAGTCTGGAATCACATCTGTGTCCTTGCAGAGAGTTTATCTGCAGACCTGAATGCCCATGCTTGTGTGTTGTCTAGGGCTGTTTCATGGCAGGGTTACTTGGGATGCTATTCCTGATCACAGGAGAGAGCAGTGAGCCATTTATAGTTGATGAGTTTTTTCTTTGAGGAAAAGTGGGAAGAGAGATGTTCCTGCGTTTATTGACCGTCTGCTGTGCTGTGTGTGCTTGTTACTGAAGGCAAGGTCAGAGGAGTTCATCTTGTCTCTCAGTGTGACACACACGGCCTACTTGGCACAACTTCTCGTTTCATTGTGCCTCAGCAATGACAGCATCTAGGTTGTCTGCTCAGCATGTCTGAATCATTGTCAGCTGCTGTAAATCCATGGGCTTTTTAAGGTCTCCAGAAAAGTCTTTATTCAGTAATAGAGCTCTCCCCTTCGGTCTCCTCAGTCTCCGATGAGTCAGTAGCCAGTGTGTGTGGTACAAGTGTAGGGCTGTCTGTGTCCTCATATCTGGTTTGAAATGTCATTGGTTTGCTGTGAAGTCCATGTGGTATTCCTTGCCCCCAATCCTCTGGCGAGGACAAAAGCCCCCTTGGGGACCTGAACTGGGCTGGAGGGTCTGTGACAGCTGAAGATGATTCAGAACCATACTGGAGACAGCCAAAGCCATTTGTTGTAAAGAAGTACAGCTCACTGGCTGCAGTAATTATTTTTTTTATTCTCCTTTCCCACAGGCTGTACATGCTCCTCTCTTTTCAGCCCTTCTTGTTAATAGTTTAACATCAATGTTTTTCCCTTGTGCCACACTTCATCCCAGGCCCTGTCTGTTCTGCCTTTTGCATCATGAGCTTAAATAAAATTGCTTTTCTTAAAACTTCTGGGAGCTATCCCCTCCCTAATTGGCAGCATATGTTATCTCATCATTCCTTGCCCTCCTTAGCCCTGTTTCTTTTCTCTCTTATCAGGCCCTCACTAGGTTTCTCCTCTCTTGTTCATCTCACATTGTGTTGAAGTTCCCTGCAAATGGCTAAAAGGCTGAGAGGCAACCTTATAGCAGCCTGTTAGGATCTGCAAGGAGGTTCTCCAAAGACAGACCCACTTCTTGCAGTGATGAATGACAGGAGGACAAGAAGCAGTGGGGATAAATTGAGAAAAGTGAAGTTCTCAGTGGACATAGGGGGGAAAATAGTGGAGAAATCAGCAGTGGGGATAAGTTGAGAGAAGTGAAGTTCTCAGTGGACATAGAGGGGAAAATAATGGAGAAATCAGTCAAGCATTGAACAAGATTGATGAGAGAAACTCTGTGCTCTTCATCAGAAACGCAGCTAGGTGGAGCCTTGAGCTGGTCTGGCCTTCTTGCTGCCCCTGCTTTGAACAGAAGACTGAACCAATGACCTCCTGAGGTCCCTTCCAGCCCAAGTAATTTTCTTCTTCTAAGTTTTTTCCTTGCCTTTGTTCTCATTGTCCTCTCCACCTATTTCAGGCACAATACCATCTTGGTGAATTATCTCTCTAGCTGAGATAATTATCTCTCTAGTTGAATTTCAGTTCAACATCCCCAGGACTTATTTTTTCCTGCTAGCTTAAAATCTCAGCCTTTTATTCAGACTTCTGCCTGCTAACATCTACTTATCAAGCTTGGTTTAGATGCAGCATAATTAATCCCTCTCTCCTCAAGCACATCCCCTTGATTGCTAAACCGTCATCTATTCTGCTGCTCTTCTGCCTAATCCAGATGTTCTCTGCAATCCTACAACTGGTTTTGCAGGTTGCAGAGAGGATCTAAAAAGCATTTCAGTCATCCAGACTATTTTGGCTGTGTCTGCCTGAGTTTGTAGAGAGCTGAACTCAGTGAATTTCCTGTTGTTTGCAGAAGGTACTAAAATCACACTGATCTCACTTTTAAAATGCCAGTACTTCAGTGTTTTTCAAAGCGTGGAGAATGAGAGAGAGCTGTCATTTTGATGTTCAAGAAAACACTGCAGAGCTCAAAAGAGATGTGTTTGAGGCTGCCTTCCATAAAAAAGGCTTCATTCTCAGCAGTCTGGCAACACACGCTCTTAAAATTTTATTCCAAAATGACTTGCTAATGATGACACAGATTACATTGTCTTTAAACAAATATTTGCTCTACACTGTACAATTTTAAATTCTTCTGAATGCAGCTGCAGGAATGATGTCCAGTTGTATAACATTCCTGTTGCTAAGAAGTAACAAAAATAAGTGTAACTATTTATCTTGGATGTCTGAAAAAAAATTTTTGACATGTCTTGCACAACATTTGTTTGAGTCTGAGTCATAATGCAGACTCTTATAATTAGTGCACTAACTTCCATTAATTAGGCTGACACTTAATTGGATCTATAAAAAGCAACCGTGACATGTCTGGTT